GAAGGAAGTTGGAGACCAATGGTAAGTAAAAGTGAGCATTCCAGTGCTTGGGATCAGGCATGGTATGAATAAGGGGCCCAAACCTCAATTTTGGAATAATATTAGTTGGATTGTCAGACAGTCTCTCCTCCCCAGTGGCTTGTCCCTGATGACAAATGGGGTTCTTTGTCTGGAATCTGTAAGAGGCAAACAACAGAACATTCAAACCCTCTGAAGACGTGATCTACCTGTTGAATATTGTATTGTTCTTCCTAAGGTCCTCTTGATCAGGGTCTCCAACCTTGGCAAACTATCATTAGATGGTTTGCTCAACAAAATCCAAAGTCATAACCATGGTTTGCATACAGCAGTGTCTGGATCCATTTATAAACAAGAATCTAGCCAAGCATTTTATGGCTTAATGTAAGATATATCATAGTCTTCCTGTTTACATTCCTGCTTGCTGAGTATAATTACTCTTACTTCTTTCCTGTTCAGCTCCGTACTTGTCTAATTAAGCATCTCCAACCTGAATAGGAATTAAAGCCTTTTGAAATCTTTTTAATGGTTCTCTGCAGGATCCATTTCTTTTCAGGCATTATGCCAGTACTGAGATATACTTTCTTACCCAAGAATAAGCTGATTCAAACCCAATTTTGCAGCTCGATGCACTAAAATATTGCATTCCCACATGAACGAGGAAGTAAAATTTGAGCTGGGAGCAGTAAAATGTATGGACCATTTAAAAAAACTAGGAGTTTTACTCATTTGTCTTTTGAAAATAAACAATCAGTGGGTATTATTTTAAAGGTGGTTAAGATTGAATCTATTGGGAATCTCTTCTAGATTGTGCGGAATGAGCAAGAAAGAAAGCTGGTATAGTCCTTAAAATTTCATCTTAGTGTTGCAACCTACATCAGCAAGTCCTTGGAGAAGTAGGGATTTTCTAACTAAACCCCAAATTTAAAACAGTTAGTCTCTTTTAATAATTTAAACAATACAGTCAAAAGACTGTAAACTCCAAATGTTGACATTTCTGGTGATTAAAGGCAATCCCACCACTTTTTTTTCTTTCAGCAGGTTTGAGACAATTTGAAAAGGAGCCTTAAGGAAGCCACCAATTATGCTGGACCAACTCGGTTTTCAAAAACAGAAGTGCTAAATTTGTCCTTTTCTTTTTATATATATTTATGTTTGTTTTTGTTGGTTTACTTGGGAGGGCGGGCGGGGTTGGCTACATTATCCCAGTTTTTAAGGAAACCATGTATATTAGCACTGTATTTAATATTCAGTCTTAAAAACATTTGTCTTAATAGTAGTGCCTTGTAACAAGAGCCTTATTCTTCCCCCCCCAAAAAAACATGCTGTGAAAGAGAGAGACACGTCTACTGATGAAGTCTAACAAACTGTGTGTCCAGACAAGGAGGAGAGGGGCATCTGCTGTGCAAACCTTCCACTTGTGGGTCCTATCCCAAATAGGTGAGGCAAACATAGGGCCAGGATAAGAGGAACACAGGCTGGTTCATTCACAAAGCACAGCACCTGAAGAGTCCTCAAAAGTCAAGATGGAGTCAACCTCTTTGTTCCTATTGACTTATTGTTGACTTGAGTGTACAAAGGCGTGGTATAATTCCCTAAGACTATCGTGGTCTACAGAACGCTGTATGATCGCTTCACCATCTTTGGTGATCCATCCATCACCTTTGATGGAATGGTGGCCTTCTCCTCCTTTGTTCTCCAACATCGTGTCACAGATTAAGAGGATGCCACATATGTGTTATTGATGGAGGAGTACCTAATCCATCACTTACATTTTGCTTGGGACATTCCTGTAAGTGAAAAGCATCTTCTCCATCCATAAGGCCATGTGCAGAGCAAAGGAGTCTTACTTTCCACAAAGGGAACGTAGGAGATATGCAAGGAATGGCACTCGATGGATCCCACACAAATATCCTTCCTGTAGCTAAGTGGGATGAGCCCCAGTTTATTTTTCCTTTCAGCACTTTAGAGTAAGACATGGAAGAAACATGCTGAGTTGGCCATTTCCTTCCTTAACTAGTCCATAATGAATTAGGATCATCAATACAATTTTCATAGTTTTTAAAGTAGCATTCCCCACTCCCTTTAATAAGTTATAGTGAATACCCTGAATTTGGACAATTGCAATCAGCAGTGGTACTGATAATGTTTCTCTCTTTTTTTGTTGTTTGTATTTTATAAAAACTAGTTAACAGTTTTAGAACATATACATCTTGCTTTTCTAAATGTTATGTATAAGGCACTACTAATAATAGGCTTTTAATACTTATTTACTTCATTTAGCTATAAACTTACATAACTAGCCAATATCACAACCTTTTTGAAAAAAAAAAGAATACACACCTTTTATATTAATATTCCATAATTGCCATTAGGGACATGGCAAGAGAAGTATTAGATTTAAAAAAAAAATAAGTTGAGCGATTAAAATTATAGTTTTAAAGAGGGAAGAAAAAAAAGTTTTAGGTCATAGGTCACATGTATAAAACAATATAGCTAATTTATATAGAACTACCATAATTACCACACAAGAAATACATGCACGCACGCTGTTGGTAATCCTTCTTTCCACCTTATTGCACACTGATTTTGCTTTTTATCAGGTCTGTATACATTTCTCATATTCTCACTTTCAAAAACAAAAAGGACACCATTCTTCCTATTGTCATACAATTCTGTCCCTAAGTATAGTAGACCTTGACCCTAGGTGCACTAATCAAGGAGAATCAAGGATCACTTCCTGTAGACCAGGTGGTATCTTCCAGATGCACTGAGAATCTGAGGAGTTGTAATCTCAACACATCTGGATTATTTCAAATTAGGAAGGGATCCTTGATGTTCTTCAACTTTCTCCCTCAAGGAGTCCAAACGTAGATATCCTTTGTCCTGGAGAACGTGCTTGCTGAATTCCAGGCAGCGAGGAAGGCTTCATTTGAACCCAGAATCCTCTCTAGAGAGGATTGTGTCTCAGTCATTCCACCCCAAATCTTTATTTTAACATCCATATTATTTGACCTGTATATAGTAAACTACTAAGTTTGAATTTACAAATCACATGATGATTGTTTTTTTTTTTTACACCATACCTAGGGGTGAAGTGAAGTATTTAAAATTTATAGCCCACTCCAATTGCGAACCATAGCTTGAGAATGGTTAATTTCTGTATACAGGTTTACATTTTTATTGCATCTGTTTGTCCTTTTTAGTTTTTTTTAAGGGGTTAAAGATGGAGTAGCAGTATCCAAGCTCCATTGCTTTTGTGAATCATCAAGTTTACATAATGAATTTCACTAGAGCTTACAGGTGGCATCAGAACCATAGAAGACAAAACCTTGGATCTGTTTGTGGTTTGGCTGTTAGTTTGTTTTCTTTAAATACACTTTGGAATCCTTACATCCGAATAACTACCATAAACCAATAATGCTGATTTTGTAATTCACAATAAATGGAGTTTGTCTGCCAGATGGATGGATCAGTTTTGTTTCTCAACCGGGGCTTTTGTATGCCAGTGGGCTCATGACATCTACATGGTCTGGCATCTTCTTGAGTTATTCTTTCTGACAAAACGACCACTTCAGTGCAGTTGTTTTGTACTATTCATTCACTTTGTGTTCAAGCAAAGTCAATGGGGCAAGCCAGGACTAAACGATTCACTTAACAATTATGGCAAGGAAAATCATCAAATGGGACAAAACTCACTTAACAATTATCTTGCTTAGCAACAGAAATTTTGGGTTCAATTGTGGTCCTGTCAAAGACTACCGATAGCAAAAAGGCCATTTATAAACATAATTGTGTCATAAATTGGTCTTCTTAGTAGAGTAATAGGAAGTGCAGCATTCTTTTAAATCTGTTTGAAGCCTCTCTGTGTGGAGTAGAATGAAGCATCCAGATAACAAAAGTTCTGACAATAATTATCAATAAATGTGTGGTTGGTGCTTATGTAGTAATTTGGTTTAATCCTTATTTCTGAAACTGTGTTGCTCATTAGCTCAAGCTGCCCATTGATGACAACTCAATAATAATTGTTTTAAGGTAGGAATGGATGAGTGTAAAAATTCTTCCCAGAGACAGTGGGATGGAAAGGGGTCAATCAGAAAACTGCAAACAAAAGAATGTTGTGATGAAATGGGATCAGCCAAGAAGTGGAAAATCAAAAAAGGCTGCCTAGAAGCCCTCAAGGGATGTTGCGACCTCTAAATGTGTTAAACATAAGTGTAAAATTTGCTAGGTTTTCTAAAAGTTGCAAGTTTTAGCAACTTGCAGGAATCGGGGGAGATTTGGCACACCTGACTGTTTCTGTTAGATTTATAAAATTCCAGTCTCCGGATTTTTGAGAAGTTTCCTCTGTTGAATTGAATGTGACTGTATTAGACCCAGCTGGCAGTTTGTGTTTGCCTGTGGAGTGGCTGAGATTAACATTAATCATCGTCGTTTTCATTGCTTCCATAAGAATCCCTCCTTGCACCTTATTTTATCACCATTTAGGATTAAATCTAGGATTTAATCTCCCCCTAGATCATGGGTGTCAAACTCGCTGCATCACATTGCCATCAGGTGACGTTTCGTGACGTTTTCCCTTTTCACGGAGCTGGGTTGGGCGTGGCCTGTATGTGATTCCTCTGGCCCGCGGGCTGGCAGTTTTAAACCCCTGCCCTAGATGGTTCCAAAATAGAACTCTTCTAAGGAACAATCCTTGTTGGTATAGTTGGACCCTTCAACCTTACAATAATATGAGGACTTTGAGATTCGGGTACTGTACTGCTTTCCTTTTCCATCTCTTACCCAGTAGGTTGTGTACGGGATTCAGAGATGGCTGAGAAGAATAAGAAAAACACACACAAATGTGTCAGATAGTCAATTTCCTATTTTACTGTAAGCTTGCAGTTGCCCTGGGGTTTCGGTTAAGAGCCAACCCCTTCATATGTCCAAACCCCTGCATCTCCCCTTTTTGCCTCCCTATGGGTGACCAGATGCAGGGTTCAAGTGGCTGCAACTATTGAAGAGATTCCACTTCCCTCCAGTCCAAGAAGGCTGTCCTTTGATGCCTGCACCCTTTGAATGGCCTTTAAGGCTTTTGCTGTGCTATCAGTGGAGGTCCTACATTTGCAGTGATTTGCAAAGAAACAGAAGGGAAGCGTTTGCACGATATAGTTCAAGAGCGTGTGGAGGTTTTCTTCCTCTGACATTTTTTCCCAGACACGGGCAAAGATTTTCCAGCAGAGTTCCTGAAGGCAAGTGACCGTAGACAGGACCAACTTGAGGTCTTCTAGGATGTAACAAGCTTGGGGAACGTTCTCATTAATTTTGGCAGACAATTCTTCAACAGTGAAGATGAGGATCAAGTAGACAGTCCTCAGGGGAAGTGTTATGGTGTAGTACAAAGCTATTAGCCAGCCTTTCCATTCCTGGAGGGCGAAAAAAAACAACAACATACACCAGGAATTATTAGAATTGGAAATGTCTTACTGTTAGTTAAACCACTGTTCCGTTGTCTTCCGATTCGCTAAGCTGCTCTTTGAAGGCTTTCCAGAACGTCAGACATGAATCTTACTCATCTGGACAAAACAGGCATTTTTATCACTGAGCTATGGCCTTGGTTTAAAGACAGATTTCAATGTAACGTATATTGTGGCACAGTTGTTTTTGTTTTTTTCACTACAGGTAGTCCTCAACTTATGACCATTTATTTAACAACAGTTCAAAGTCACCAGGAGGCTGAAAAAAGTGACTTACGACCAGTTCTTGAGGTTATGACCGTCACCCTACTTTCTGTGGCCATGTGATCATGGTTTGCACACTTGATAACAAGCTCTTGTGACAATTGCAGCATCCTGTAGTTATGTAATCGTGATTTCATAGCGCCTTCCGACGAGCAAAATCAATAGGGAAAGCTGGATTTGCTTAATGACTGTGTGATTCGCTTAATGACTGCACTAAAAATCATAAAATCAGGACGAGTCATATGGTGGGGATTTGCTTAATAACTGTATTGTTTAAGTGATTGAAATTCAGATCCAATTGTGGTTGTAGGAATAGGAATAGAAATAGCACCTAGACTTATATACCACTTCATAGTGATTTACAACCCTCTCTAAGTGGTTTACAGAGTCAGCATATTGCCCCCAATAATCTGGGTCCTCATTTTACCCATCTCAGAAGGATGAAAAGCTGAGTCAACCTTAAGGATCGAGCTGCTGGCAATCGGCAGAATTAGCCTGCAATACTGCATTCTAACCACTGCATCACCACCGCACTACTTTTTAAGTTGAGGAATACCTGCAGTTCTTATGCCTTTAACAATACCTTAATAATTACCTCATGTTACAACCTGACAGATAATTTAACCCACTTTTCCCAGGAATTCTTCAGCAAAAGTTAATGACGAGAGACCCAATCCTCTCAGTTTAACTGGGGATCCTTAACCCTCCTAGTAAGGAGTTTCTCTTAGGCCCAGTTCTAGAAAAAGAAAAAAAAATAGAAAGGAAGCTACTTTGGATCTTCCTACCTGAAGCGAACAATTGAAAACTGAAATTATTCTTGAAACACAAGGGGGCGCTGTGCAATCATGTAGTTTTGCATAGGGGCAGCTTTTCGGAAGAAGTGCACTTATCTGCCTTTTCTGAACCAAGGAAGCCAAATCTCTAGATTTTTTTCAAAAAGGGAGTTATTGGGAAAAGTAAAACAAGAGTAGCCAACAATCATCCACACAACAATCCAAATAAAATCAATTCAGGCAGGCAAATTACATGAGTTCTATATTACCTGTTTTAAGGGAATTGTTCAAAGTTTATTTGCTGAGTGATGGAGGGAGATTAAATGAGCCTCCACTTAATCTGTTTGGATGCAGTTGGGCAGGACTTTGGGGGCTCCTTCTCTGCTTCCCTTTCTGCTCCCTTAGTTTTCTAACTTTTCTCTGCCTTTGCAGCAGAATCATCCCAGTTTGGGAGAGAATAAAATCATGGAGAGACCGACTGTTGCTTTGTCCATACAAAACATATTTGTTTGCTGCCCTTCTCCCTTACAAGGTGATCTGTCTGGCATAAGACAAACACACCATTTTTGCATCTTTCCAACAAATAAAGGAAACCGTAATGACTGAATCTCCCTTTTTAACAACCCTGGTTGAATGCTAAAAAGTGCAGGGTTCTGTCAATGTAGTTTACAGTAGAGGAGAATGAACTCATCTGGTTGGGATTCTTGAAGGTGTAGTAGCCAACAACCATCTTGCAATTCTGAAAGTACAATTCTCCCCCTGACTCCTTTACAGCCTGGGGAACTTAGGGAGAGTCTCTTCTGAGCCTCTTGTCCCATCCGTTATACAGCTGCAGACTATGTTGCCTCTTATCTAACTGTTCCCTTGGCAGTGTCTCTTGGCTCCGTCTCACAAGGTCTTTCCCACATACCATTACAGGACTTTCCCCTTTTGCAATATGCTCCTTTTCAGTTTATGCCCTTAAACTGACTGACTCAAACAAATTAATAATAGCAGTAAAATTATCTGACTAAAAAATAATTCAGAAGGGGAGAAGTGCTGTTAGGACATAAGTACCTCCTTCTTTAAGACTGTCTGGAGCACAAGATATGTGCTTAATGGATTTTTACAGACCTGAAGGGAAACTCTGAGTCCATGGTTGTGGACCTGAGCTATGGCCCTTTCATAAAGAAGGTAAATGGGATTAATAGCAGCTTCAGCCTTTAGAACATGGCTGCCAAACTCCTGGCCCAGGGGCCAGATGCATCACGTACTGGCCACGCCCATGCCCGGTTTTGCAAAGGGGGGGAAGTCCCAATATGTCATGTGACGCCTCTGTGAAGACGTGAGTTTGATGCCCCTGCTTTAGAAGATCTTTCTTTATTGTTGAGGCACCTATTTTCCTTGGGTGAATTTCAGCTAACCCTGGCTGCAAGGAATAACTTCAAGGCCTGACATAGTTGGTTGTATCTTCTTTCCCTGCGATCCTGCAGAACCAGGGGTGACTCTGTCCTTCCATGAGGTTCCTGAACTTTAGATAATAACTCCCTTGACTATTGTGGTTGCAAATAGGTCAACAAATTTATCATGTCAGAGGCTGCTTGGCGGAGGCTATTACTCAAATCTATTTTAAGCAGCCATGAATGGAGGCAAATATATTTGCTCGTGAAAAACCAGTCACTTTTCAAAGTTAGAGCTACTGGAAAGGAGAGAAATGCTGACCTGGGTCTATGTACTTGCCCCCTGTAAGGGGGTTTATAGCTCAGTTGTGATAGACTTCTGTCATATGTACAGCATATCAGAGGTGGGCGATTTATTTTTTTCAAGGGACTACATGAAAATCTGGGACTGTTGTAGAGGGATGAACCAATGTATTCTGATTTGATGTCCCCAAACCTCATCACCTCAATATCTGAGGCTGCTCCAGGCAAGGGGCAAACACTGCACAGGTGCAGAAATGCACTTTCTCTCACCATCCTCCCATAGCCACCAGCTGACTGAAGGAACCAACTCAGCTTCTTCTTCTTCCCCTGTGGTATGCTTATTTACATTTGATTTCTAATTTCCGATCGACTTCATGCAGGCTGAATAGGAACCACCAAAGATATGATCCAAGATTTCAAAACAAATTAATTTCATTAAAACGCTTGAACAATCTCCTATAATTTTGACACTTTCTGGAGGTTTGGAATAGCGCACCCTTTTAGAGATCCTGGGAGTTGTAGTTTCATATTAAAAGGGCACCAGGTTTGGGAAAACGTTTCTTTTCTTTTTTTTAAATAAACCCACTGTAAAATCAACTTAGCCTCCAGTCTCATTTCAAGGTTCTTGAGGAGGCCCTAATTATGCTTCCAATTTTTCCCAGAGTGATCGTTCTTTTTAAAAATCTTTCCATTTAAAAATAAAATATGGTGGGCACCTGGTAGGGACTGATGTTAGTTAAAATGGGGAAAAGAAGCAAGAAAAGAATAAAAGCTAACAATTTTAGTCTTGTGCTTGTTTGATTGATGTCATTGCTATATATAAGATTGGGTCCAGATAATGTTCAACCTGGCTATAAAAAACCCACAATTGTTGCGTTTACTTCTCCAAGATTAATCTTATTCTGATTTAAAGCAGTAGCTTATATCATGCAACATGTTAAGATAATAGCTGACTTCCCACATCACTGAGTTGCAAACTACCCATCCTAGTTACCCTAATGCAGTATTTCCCAACTTGGGTCACTGGCTGGGGAATTCTGGGAGTTGAAGTTCATATATCTTTAAGTAGCCAAGGTTAGGAAATACTGCATTAATCTATTATGTTGTGTAAATTGAGCCAAACTTCATCTCTCTCACTTACTGGGAACAATCAGATGGATTCACTGAAGGGTAACTTCCACACATTGAGCCAATCATGAACATTTAGGGGTAAGCCATCTCTCTCATAAATGTACATAAAGATAATCCAATAATTATTTCCATTTTGTTCAAGATTTTTAAAAATATATATTCTGGGACCACCAGGGTCCAAAAGATCAAGATGGCTGTCAGCTGCCACCTCACACTTGTGTTTCACAACCATTCAGTATCCGCTGCCATGAACTCAAGGGTGGGCTGGATGGGAGAAGGGGATGCTTCGAGAGTAACAAAACGTCACTGTATCCCTCTGAGACGGGCTTCAAGGACAAACAGCTGGGAACGGAATACAGCTGCAAACCGAACCTATGCCTGAAGTGACCATTCTGAAAGCATCCAGTTTGAATTTGATTGGACATGGGGGACCCTGTCACGTGAGGTGATTAAGGGAGGGGAAAAAATTAGACTTGGGGATTTTGGCACGCATTTCTCAGTTCCGGCTATGCATCACTGTAGTTCACTTGACTTCTAGTAAACTTTACCTTTATCAACAATGGAATTAAGGATCGTTCTTACTCAGAGGTTCAAGCTGAGGCAGCGCTGTCAACAACGGCTGTTTTGAGTGTGCAGGGCTGGATGCCATTTTGGGTTTTTTGACCTCCCTTTCCTCATAGATGCAGGAATAGGTGCAGAAATGCATTAAATAAATACAGAGGTGACGGTTTGCTTCCAAGGACAGGCAAAGAAAGAATGGAGAGTTACTGAGACTTACCGAAAAGGTGTTTTCAAGGACTATTTGGAGATTCTCATTAGCATGCCTCAGATTGCACCAGGATTGCTGAGATATATAGCGTTGGAATTTATTCAAGAGAGAAAGCACGCAGGCCAAATAGCCATTGCACTTGATCTGGGTCTGTATTTCCTGCACAGGATCCATCCCTGTCCCTTGAGAACATGTTTTCAGATCCACTGAAAGGAGGAAGGCAGTGTAAATAACAGGCTCTAAAAGTAAGAGGAAAGGATATAGGTAGTCCTCGACTTAGAACCATTCATTTAGTGACCGTTCAAAGTTACAACAGCAGTGAAAAAAAGTAACACACAAGCATTTTTTACACTTACAAAACGATTGGGGTCACATGATCAAAATTTGGATGCTCGGCAACTTGCATACGAGAGGTTGAAGCATCCTTTGGTCCTGTGACCTTGTAACCTTCCCAAAAAGCCAAGTCAATGGGGAAAGCCAGATTTACTTAACGACTACATGATTCATTTAACAGCCACAGTGATATGCTGAAAAACTGTGGCAAAAAAGGGCCATAACATGAGGCAAAACTCACTTAACAACTGCCTAGTGTAGCAATAGAAATGTTAGGCTCAATTGTGTTCATAAGTCGAAGACTACCTCTTTAGCAAGAACCTTACAAAACTCTTCTCACCTTCCAGTTCTTAAATGAAGGAGAGTTTTGTTGGACTCCATTGTTAGAAGATATGCCCATGTATTTAGATGGCATTTTATTTATTGTCGCTACTTTGTGCCCTCTGTGTCCAAGTAAGTATGGCAGATATTGAACAGGGACCACTTTAGTGGGAAGGTAACAGTGTTCCGTGCACCTTTGGTGTTTAGTCATGCTGGCGGCATGACCACAGAGACGTCTTCAGACAGCACTGGCTCTTCGGCTTTGTAACGGAGATGAGCACTGCCCCCTAGAGCGGAAACGACTAGCTAGCAGGTATGTGCGAGGGGAACCTTTACCTTTAGTTTGATAACACCTCTTTGAGGAAAGTCAAAACAACTTTGATAGGACTAACGTTCTTAGGATGTTAATGACCAACAGATGCAAAATGGGGTATTAAGTAGAAACTGAGGTCTTCCCTGTTGATTTTGTTCCTAAATAGTAAACAGTAAGGAAAATTTAGGAGCCACCTCACTGAACTTTTGTGATATACAAATGCTTCAGTTTTTCTACCTTGTTCTCAGAGTGCTTGATAATTTCTTTTAAATCTCTCTTAGTGGCATTTTGACTGTTATTTATTGTTAGAGACAGCTAACGATGTCCTTTGGTGTTGAAAAGTTTTAAGGGGAAATATCCTCTTATAATATCTTCCCTCAGAACTGATTAAGCTTGGGAAACCAAGGAATGTACCAATAACTGGTCAACTGATTGTAAATTACAGGCAGAACATTCACACGGCTTTCTTGTTGCTCAAATGCAAGAGCATTTGTTTCACACATGAGCATTTCATCAAAATTCTCTCTTTTGGTCTACAGTAAAGAAAGCAAATTATCTTTTACCCGCGTGGAAATAAATGCAAGAGAATTTTTCTGCATAGTGATAACATTTGCTGAGATAACATTGTTGAGAGTTACCCTCTAGCTCTTGTTTAAAAACCTCTAAAGAGTCAAAAGACAGTCCTTCGAATATGGCATGTGTCCCACCTCTGAAGATCTTGTCCAGTGGTGGGATTCAAAAATTTTTACTACCAGTTCTGTGAGTGTGGCTTGGTGGATCTGGCATGATGTGGCTTGGTGGGCATGGCGTGGCTTGGTGGGTGTGGCTTGGTGGTCATGGCAGGGGAAGGATACTGCAAAATCCCCATTCCCTCCCCACCTGCTTTCCAGCTCCGTTCTTCTGTGCAGGGCAACAGAAGAAGACTCAGCCAATCAGCTGGGACTTGGGAGGCAGAGAATAGATGGGGGCGGGGCAAGTCAGAGGTGATATTTGCAGGTTCTCCGAACTACACAAAATTTACGCTACCGTTTCTCCAGAACTGGTCAGAACCTGCTGAATACCACCTCTGATCTTGTCCTGCCTAACCTTTAATCAAAATTCTCCTTCAGTGGTGCTTCATTATTTGCCCAAATCATTAACAACCAAAACCATTCCAAGATATATACATCCTTAGGCTTTCTAGAGGGCTCTTACTCAGCTCTTCATCACTGATGAGAAGGTAGTGATCTATAAATGCATGGGACCGGCCCAGCACGGTTTCTACACTGTTCTTGGCCATCTTTCCCATTCTTGTTCCCATCACCACAGTCATGCTGCTGCTCACAAGGGAGGCCGTGGTTTTCACTCCATTCTGAACCACATCTTTGGTCATGCCAACCATCCCTGACAACTTGCGAGTCACTGCGTTCTTGGCATTCGTGACTTTAGAAGTCACCAGTTCTTTTGTACCAGACACAACCTGTCGGAGAGAGAAGAGTGGTCATTTTGGATTAAGCCATGGGTGTCAAACTCACAGCGTCACGTCGCTGTCATGTGATCTTTCGTGATTTTTTTCCCCCTTTGTGGAGCTCAGATGGGTGTGGCCTGTATGTGACGCATCCGGCCCTTGGGCTGCCAGTTTGACACCCCCTGAAATAAGCTGTCTTTCTCACATCAGGAAGTAGGACTTGCATTTAAGTGTGATTCACAGAATGACATTCACTTTGATTCTTTTAAAAACTGTACAGCTCCAATTCCCAGGCATCTGTTGGAGAGAGGATAAATGAAGGCAAGATGATGGCTGTGATCTCCCAGTGGTGGCTGCCATTTTGATATTTTTTTTAAAAAAAGCCTTCTATGGATGCCCTTGGTCCATTCTGCCTTTTGTGCAGCAACGGAGAGTGATAAAGCTGCACAGAAGATGAAATTTTAGAACCTATAGCTTAATATGCAAAGATGAGAGCAGATAACCCAATTTTATTTATTTCAAATCCCCGTCCCCTTCTATACAAAATTAAAAAGGGGGGATTGGTTACCTTCGAACTCTCTTTTTAAAAAATTCAATGTTTTTAAATATTTCCAGGGGTTTAAAAAATGTTTCTTCTGTATATTCTCCCAAAATTTAGTGTAAATTGGCAAGGTAAATAGACAGATATTTTAAATCTTGTACCGGTTATGGTCTTAGCCAGCCTAACTCCTAAGTGAAGAAAGCTGAGCTTGATATGCAATAATATTTTTTTCTTTCAAACCAGGCACATAACAAAGAAAGTCTGTAGCTCAGCAAAGCATAGAATCATTTCTACCATGTCTCTGCTGTTTCTGGTTCATGCAATCATTCTGGCTGTAATTTGCTCTGAACAAATAAGGGATCTGAAACTGTAAATAATCTCTGTTGAACTAGTTTTAAATACTATGCTTAGGCTACTTGAAATGGTCTTTACAGAAACACAAGACTCAAGATCTAAAGCTGCCTTCCATACCTTTGTGCTTTCCAATATGCTGAAGTAGAGCACACCTGGAAGACCTAGGCATCTGGCTGTGGAAGGCTAATCTAATGTCTCATTCATTCATTCATTCATTCATACATACATATATTCACTCACGTACATACACACACACACACACATACATACATAAATAGTACATACCTGACTTCAAAATAACTCTTAGCTATCACTTAGCATGGCACACTAAAACTAGGATTGGGCAAGATTGATTTATGCTTTCTTCCTTCATACCAAGATATTTTCAGGTTTTTTTAAAAAGCTAAAAACGCTACCTGACCAGCTCTTTGTTGAAGAATTGGCACCCTCTGTTCCACTGTATCCAAGCCACGACATACATACTTGTTTGCTGTTGCAACTAATGAAAGACAAGAAAAAGGAAGGAGTTTGCAGTCAGTTAGGCTCATTACAATATTTAGCATTTGGAATTTTTATGGTTTAGGAGCAAGTTCATAAGGCAGTTTCATACATCCGTTAAATAATCACTACTTTGCAAAATGTAAGGTTTGAGTTCACACTACACAAAGTCATAAAGTGCTTGTTTGAATGTGTTCTGTCTCATTGTGGGAATTCAGCCATTGGTTGAAGAAGTCACACATACAAAAGTTTCGTTACAAACCCGTAAGAATAACATTAAACACACTGCAGCAGCTCCAGGGTTTCACTGGTTTCGAAGGGAGGATGCACAACTAAGAACACTCGGACCAGCTATGTAATTTTTAAAAAATTCATGGAGATATTTTTTTTAAAAAAATTGTACTCAGAATAATAAATAAGAACAAAAGTTGATATAGGTAGTCCTTGACCTAAGACCACAACGAAGCCCAAAATTTCTGTCGCTAAGTGAGACACTTGTCTATCCCCTTTTAGCTTCCCCTTGTAATAAAATAATAAATTGATTTTGGATTCTAGAATTACGTCAACTAACCCGCCTGTTACATGAGATTCATGTATATATTTATAGAGGAGATTACATATCCCGATTCCTGGACAGACTGAGCCATAGTTTCAACTGGGAAACTGAGCATCCTAGACCAAGCTAAATTCAAAAAGCTAGAGATTTCCTGTAAATTTGGTTCTCACAGAAACCAGCCATCAATAAACACATGAAACAAAATTCAAAAAGAGACAATAAAAAAGCCAAGAAGGGAACAAATGGACCAGAACACATCCTCTCCACAGCCAACATTCAGATCAGCAGGGAGTGACACCAGACAAAGAATCAAGCAGAAGACAATATGCTAATAAAGGAAACAAATAATCAAGCTGAAAACAATATCTAATCAAGGAACCAACGAGAAATAAACCACACTCCTAGGCCAGGGAACAGGCCAGAGGTGGTATTCAGCAAGTTCTGACCAGTTCTGGAGAGCTGGTAGTGGAAATTTGAGTAGTTTGGAGAACCGGCAAATACCACCTCTGATTGGCCCTGCTCCAATCTATTCTCTGCTTCCGGAGTCCCAGCTGATTGGTTGGGTCTTCTTTTGTTGCCCTGCACAGGAGAAGGGAGCTGGAAAGCAGGTTAGTGGGGTGGGGAGGGAATGCAGATTTTGCAGTAACCTTCTCCTGCCACACTCACCAAACCACGCCCACAGAACCACTCACGTTGAGTGAAAGCTCTACTGGATGGCTAATCAAGTTCAATTGAAGAGCAGAATCTCTCAAAAGCCACCCAAAGAATTAGCTCCAAGTTGCATCTTTTATCTATGGAGATTCTCAATCATCCAGGTCATGGTTGTCCCAAAGGTGCTTTTTCAAAAGGCAACTGGACTTTCTTTCTTTTTTCCTCAAAGACATTTCACTTCTCATCCAAGCAGCTTCAGAACTTCAGTCAGAACTGAAGAAGCTTCTTGGATGACAAGCTAAACATCTTCAACGAAAAACAAGGAAAGTCCAGTTGCCTTTTGAAAAAGCACCCTTGTGACAACTTGCATCTTTGAAGTGCACATTGCTCACCTCATGGTCTGCTATTTGGAAGATACAAGGAGCTTTCTCTATAGTACAGTAGAAGCCAGTAGCAATGTTGTGTTTTCCCCCTCCCCTCCAAAAAGGAATGATGGCAGAGAGATTCCCTGGATACGAGGATAGGGACATGGATAGGCCAAAGTGACCAGTGGTCTCCGGGCTCATCCCACCCCATAGATTACTTTGAGGTGCTACTATTAGGATGGGAAAGAAAGCACAATAGATTGTCTTTACCCTTAAACTACTGCTTGATTGCGGCTGGCATAGGGAAGAATTGCTACTTTAACTCTAGTCAGAGTTAACTATGACCTTAGGGATGAAAGCTAGTTATAGCTAGCAAACCTTATGGCTGATACTCCATAGTATAATCCATCTGGTAATGCTTTGGTAGTGTGGAAATGTAACATTAATTGTCATAGCAACCCCGATAACCATTCATGGAAATTCAGAATGTTGAATGCCAGATGTAGGACGCTATTCTCTATACTGGGAAAAGGAATTTGAATTTAGAATGTGGGGAAGACTTCTATGGTTGATAACTATAGCTGCCATTTTCACACATGGAATTATTAACAGCTCCATCATTGAAAAGTCTCATTGAACTCACTCATATCCAACTGAGTGAGTGAGAATGATGAATTGTAGAAGTAAACATAACTCAGAAGTCTCATCCAGTGCACATGGAGAAAAACAGAACAGAACAGAATGGAATTCTTTATTGGCCAAGTGTGATTGGGCACACAAGGAATTTGTCTTGGTGAAAATGCTCTCAGTGTACTTAAAAGAAAAGATACATTCATCAAGAGTCAAGAATCAGAAGGTACAACACTCAATGATAGACATAGGGTACAATAAGCAATCAAATCATACTGGGAAGCAGTCAATATAAATCATAAGGATACAAGAGACAAAGTTACAGTCATACAGTCACAAGTGGGAGGAGATGGGTGATAAGGAGTGATGAGAAGATTAATAGTAACAGTAGTGCAAACTTTGTAAATAGTTGGACAGTGTTGAGGGAGTTATTTGTTTAGCATAGTGAGGGCTTTCGGGAAAAAACTGTTGCTGTGTCTCCTTGTTCTGGTGTGCAGTGCTCTGTAATGTCATTTTGAGGGTAGGATTTAAAACAGTTTATGTCCAGGATGTGAGGGGTCTGTAAATATTTTCACAGCCCTCTTTTTGACTCCTGCAGTATACAAGTCCTCAATGGAAGGCGGGTTGGTAGTAATTGTTTTTTTCTGCAGTCCTAATTATCCTCTGAAATGAGCAGACATCTGTAACAGCAATGGTGGTATGCTATCGGTTTGAACCGGTTCACCTGAACGGTAGTTAAAAAAGTCTTCAATCAGCTGAGAGGAGGAAAAAAATCTGGACAATTAGCCAAGAGGAAAACAAAGAGAACAGCACAGGATCGGCCCTCCTATGCACCCCTGCACTTTTCTCTTATTTATCTTCTCAGCTGATTGGCATTGCAGGTCTCAGCTGGTATGGAGAAAGCTGCACGCTGGCATTAGGCAAAGCTCACCCACCAAGCCATGCCCAAGCCACGCCCACCAAACCAGTGGTAAAACAATTTGAATCCCACCACTGTATAACACTGTGACCTGATGGTATTGGAGTTACTCTTAGAGTGGCCCAACCACTGAAAATGTCTTGACCGAGGGCACTGAAAACCTGTAACTAGCAATGATCAAGGAACTAACTCCTGCAGGATCATAATTGTTCCAATCAAGGCAACTTACATCACACATCATGCTGTGTGCATCATGAATCTGTTCGGATCTGAAGATGAATAAAGAGGGATTAGAAATAACAAGCAAAATCCAAATGTTTTCTACTTTCTTTTTGAATTTGTTTATTATTTGTAAAGTTGAAATGTCTGAGTAGGTTTATTATCTCTCTCTTTAAGATAACTATTTCCCAACACTGTTAGATCTTGAAGAGAACATGAAGGTTAGAGTACAATTATCCTTCCAAGTGCATACTGAGATATACTTTATGATACAATTGTCTGCTACACAATGGCATACAAAATATTATATTATCATAAGTTGTTTACAGAGATGCATACACAAAGAACATTGCAGAAAGCAAAGCAGACACTCCAGATGTTTTCTAAAACAATTGATATGGATATTGAAGCACATTTAAGACTGGATGTTCACAAAACATAATGTTTTATTTGATAAAGACTCGTAGTTATTCAGTCAATCAAGAATGGAGAATTTGAATTGGGTCACAGCCCTGAGGCCACATTGCCAAGAGAGAGGAAAAGTTTTTGAAAAGTGTGTATTGGGTGAGGGATTAAAAAATTAAATTAATTATTAGTACTTTTAATTGCATCCCTTATAAAGCAGTTATATTTTAACTAAATTAAGAAAGAGTGACCAAGCACCAAGCTTATGAAAGATTTTTCTATGCAAATGTAAACATCTTGAACTTTTTGGTTTCACATTGTAAGAAAGTTCCCATTTATAGAGGAAAAAAGTTGGAAAGAAAATGTTGTAACTGTGGAAAAATGTGTACTAATTACGGGTTTTTATTCTTTTAAATAAAGTAATTGACTTAATTAATATATGTAGCTAAACTATAAAAAAAGATCTTTCTGCATTCCTGGTATCCTTTATAACTTGCCCAGTTACTGCCTGGCTCCTGATTTGAAGCTGCAAATCTTAAAAAGTGCCAGTTGATTCTAGTTAATCCTGAACTAAATTTTCTGAATAAACGCCAAAGGAGCTTAACTGATTATAATGTTGAAAGCAAGATCTTTGGACAAAGGAGGATTTGTGGTTGAATTGTTCAGTCACTGTTTTATATTGTGAATTTGAACTAAAGCAAAGATAGGTATCAAAAGATCCAAATGTTCTAAGTTTCATTTCAATCTTGGCCATAAGGCCCTCATTAGGGGATTTTACACTTGTGCATACATGTTTAAAAGAACAGGAATGGGCTCAAAATAGCTAAGGCAAGCTTTCAGGAACCATTGATGCCTCAAATCTCTGAGTAATGGATTCCTGGAAATCCTGAGGTTTGCACAGGATGGGTATTTAAGGGGAAGTGAGAAATTCCACCTCATTCCTCTTTCTTAGTGAATCAGCTATTGTTTCTAGAGAAATTTTACACAATGAATTATACTGTAGAGCTACACTGTTGGACATGTCTTGAAAATAATTTGGAAGACAGGCTTTAGATCTCATGTGAGCATAGAACCTCCCTATGGTTCATTAAAGCAGCCCGGTGTTTTGTAATCTTCTCTACAGAGATGAAGAATAATACCGCTGCTTTAAAGAACCTACTCATTGACGTTAACTCTTAATCTTCTTTTTAAAACTCATGTGGATGCCAGAAAAGAAGTTGAGTTTTTTTTTAAATAAAGTCATTTTTAAGGTATGC